TGGAACGACCAGTCGCTATGATGCGCACTGACCACCAGGGGGCAGACGCTCAACGCATGAGCTGCCCCCGGTTGTCAGTGCGCTCCCACAGGGGGAGCGCCACTCAGCCAGAAGCCAGGCTCATGGCTGGCAAGTGCAATGGCAGTGGCGGGAGCCTCTCCCGCCTCTGCGACAGCACTAAGGAACAGGAAGCCGAGTGGTAAGGAGCAGTGAGCAGGCGGGCGGTAAGGAGCTAGTGGTCCCGGACTACAAGAGGGCGCAGACTGGGCTGAGAGACCCCCCCCCCAGTGTACGAATTTCACGTGTTCTAGTCTCTAATAAAGTTATAATGCTATACTCATTCATTCAAATATTTCAACACTGTATACCAGGTGGACTAGGAATAAAATAATGAATAATACTTGGCTCTTACTCACAAGAACTTAATCTAGTACACCCTTAGATTCTTACCCAGAATATATTAACTTATACATAGAACTAGTGGCCCGGTGCATGAAATTCGTGCACATTAAAAGGGGATTAATTAGAAGAAATATTTTAATATTGCTATTTGCCCTTTCTCTATAATAGAAGTGTCAGAGATGAAAGAAAATTAGTAAAATGTATATGAAAATCTCCCTCCTGTCAGTGTCTGGGGCACACCACGGGACCCAGAATCAAGTCCCCGCCCATCCATGTGCACCTCAAAATCACGCGAGACCCAGACCCAGCCGGCCCCCCCCATTGGGCTAGATCCAGACCCGGCCGGTCCCACCCTTGTCAAGCCCCGCTGTGCAGGGGGCATAGCCTCAGGTTCCCTGGCCTGGGGTGGGGGGCGCGGCCTGAGGTCCCCCGTCAAGCCCCGCCGGGTGGGGGGCGCGCCTTGCGTTCTCCCGTCAAGCCCTGCCAGGTGGGGGGTGCAGCCTCAGGTCCCCTGTCAAGCCCCACTGGGAGGGGGGCGCAGCCTCAGGTCCCCCGTCAAGCCCTGCTGGGTAGGGGGGTGTGGCCTGAGGTCCCCCGGCCCGGGGCAAAGGGAGCAGCCTGAGGTCACCCGGCCCAGCACTGGGGTTGAGGGGGGCATACCTTGATGTCCCCTGTCAAGCCCTGCCAGGTGGGGGGTGCAGCCTGTGAGGTCCCCTGTCCAGCCCTGCCGGGCGGGGGGCATGGCCTGAGGTCACCCGTCCAGCCCTTCCAGGTGGGGGGCACAGCCTGAGGTCCCCCAGCCTGGCGCCAGGGTGGGGGCACAGCCTGAGGTCCCCTATCAAGCCCCACAGGGGCGGGGGGGAGCGCAGCCTCAGGTCCCTGCTGATTGCTCGTTAAGGCTCGTTAGGGGAACTCGGCCTCCGCTGTGGGTGCAGCCATCTTGTGTTACAGAAACCGCCCCCCTCCTCTGTGGGCGCTGCTATCTTTGTGGTGGAGTGATGGTCAATTTGCATATTCCTTCTTTATTATATAGGATTATGTAAAATAGTAAATTCATAAGTAAATATGGTTAAAAGAATGTTTGCTTCATTTTCTAGTTTGCATGGCAACATTTAGAGTTGTAAGTCAAACTAGTTAGAATAACAAATGCTAAAGATATGTATTATTTTATTAAGTACTTAATAGGCACAAGGGATACCAAGTGGAGTAAGTACCATTCCTACCCTCAAGAAGTTCTAATATGGCTAAGGAAGAAACACATGAGTGGCTATAATCCTATCTAATAATAGACAAACATGGTAATTAACCGTAACTTCGCTAACCTTCCCATCGGCTAATCAGGGCGATATGCAAATTAACTGCCAACTAAGATGGCGGTTAACCGCCAACAAAGATGGCGGTTAATTTGCATACTCGCAATGAGGCGAAAGGGGAAGGATGGAAGACAGTGATCAGAAACCCAGGCGCAGGCAAGAGCCAGGGAGAAGGGCAAAGGTCTGCCCTGGAGGCCACCTTTGCCCTGCCACCAGCGGGTGATCGGAGAAGCCTGGGGGGTGGGTCAGGGAAGTGGACACAGACAGCTATGGAGACTGCAGAAGCTGGATGCAGGGGCAGGGAAGCGGCCGCCGCCATCGTCCCCGGCTGCTGCTTCCCTGCCCCGCACCCGGCTTCTGTGATCGGTGACCACAGAAGCCTGGTGCAGGGGCGATCACAGAAGCCAGGTGCATGGGCAGGGAAGCAGCCTCAGCCAGCTTCCCTGGCTGCAGTTTCCCTGCCCCGCACCCGGCTTCTGCGATTGGTGATGCCTATTTTTGCATGACACTTAACTGACTACCCTCCCTGGAAGCACAGAAGAAGAAGCCCCCAGAAGAAGAAGCCGCCCACCTTTGGTCCAGGCGCCAGCACCTGGGGCTGGCTGCAGCCCAGGAGATGGACAAGCTACCGGCCAGAGGTCCCAGGCTACAGCCACCCAGAGAAGCTGCCAGCCCTGTGGTCCAGGGCGCCAGCGCCTGTGGTCAGGGAAACAGGTTCCCTCTTCTCCTACTGTAGTCATTACTTCAATATTCCCCTTCTGAATTTCTCTCCTGTGCTGCAACCCAACTCCACTTTTCATCGGAAGGATACAGAACAGAGAGAGCAGTGTTAAAAGCTTACATTTTTAAGCCGGTAAGGTTGGTACTTAAACATATAAATGGAAAACTAGAGTCCTTAAGGTAACAAAGGCTACAAAGGACAGGGACAGCGCATGACCTATTATATCCAGCAATCCATATGGGGACTGAAAACTTTGCAATGATGACAATTACTGAAGATATGACTCAACTAAAATAGTTGACAAGGACAATTCTTCCAGCTTTGAAAATATCTACATCAAATCTGTTTAAATAGATTTTCATCTGCATAATATAACACATTCTGACAAGACCACCACCACCACCAATGTGGTCAGTGTTGTGCCGTAAAATGTTTAATAACTGAGAGACCCCCCCCTCTAGTGCACAAATTTTGTGCACCGAGCTACTAGTACTCTATATAATATCATGTAGTGTGATAAAGGAGACAACAAGTTGCAGTGGAAACAAAAAAAGAAGGCTTCTGCTGAAAGTGAATTATAAAATTAATTTTAATTACTAGGAATGAGTCAAGTAACATCTCTGAATAAACAGCCATTTTGTATAGAAACATACGCATACACTTCATAAGCTCTAAAAACTTTGCCGCCTTATTAAGCACAGAAATGTCTAATAGCATATTTCAGGGAAACAAAATTCTCAGAGGTGGTTAAAATAACATTTTGGTACTTTAAAGCATTATCTTTTCCGGACATTTCATTTGTCATTCCTTTTGGTGGTGGTGGTGGTGGTGGTGGTGGTGGTGGTGTTAGGTTGCTGAAAACGTCTTTGAATCTCCAGGTAGGAGAGTAATCTACTTAACCCATGTGACACCCAAATCCCCTCTATAGCACCCTGTCCAAAGGTCATCTAGCTTATGTTTTCATGCCTGGGAATCACAACATCCTGAACCAACTCTATCTGGGAGCCTCTCTAACCATTAGAAAGCTCTTTTAGATTCTAATGTCCTGAAGGAAAGGACTGTACCATTTCTATTTATAATCTCACCACCTCACACCATAATGGGTGTTCAATAAAAGTTGAATGATTCCACTGCAGTTTTCTCCTATCAATTAAAATTCTCTCCCTTGGCTATATAGTGTTTTGGATATTTGAACATAGCTATCATGTTTTCTAAGCTATTTATATCAAAAAAAATTTCATCTATTCATATAACATGAGTCCCATCACCTTCTTACTAATCACTGACTATTACTTTATATTCTGGAGCTAAATACAGTATTCTAGCATGGCCTGATGAGTGCAGAGTAGGGTGGTTCCATCACTCTTACCTCAGATACTTTATAAATATAGCTTAAAGCATTAGCACTGTTGGTTTATTTAAAGTTTACTCCACTTAAATTACTGAATCAGTTTCCCATCTGGTGTTAACTTTTGGTATATTCATTAAGTACCCTATTAACTCTAGTTTCAGCACTGACTTCTCCCCTGAGCTTCTCCCTACTATATGCACTTGTCTATTAGACATTTGTTCTTGGCTAGACTTACATACCTTCAACAAAATGGATCCCAAACAAATTATTTTCTTCCCATTCTTTAGAACTGCTTCTCCTCTAGATTATCTATTGGAAGTTGCCTAAACTAAAATATTGAGAGTCATCTGAACATCTTTAGCTCCTCAGCATCCTATTTAGTTGTCATGTCTGTGAATTTCACACACAGTTTTCAACTCCATCTGCTCTTCCATGCCTTGCTTTTTTTCTTACCTGTACTATTCTTCCTTGCCTGTACTATTTCAAAGCCTCCTAATTTGTGTCCCTAAGTTCAGTCTTGTGTAGGTACTTTTCCAGACTCATTTCCTAACATTCCCTTATATGCACAGAGTTTACATGTTATAGAACTCTGGTACTTCTGTATTTCACACACTGAGTAACCCTACTTCTTATCTTGGTATTTATTGCATGTGTTTTCACTCTGCCTGAAATGTACGTTTCTCCTTTTCCCTACCCGCAAAGAATTCCTTTTCCTTCATGAGACTTAATTTAAGTATCACCTCTGGGAAGCTTTTCCTGACGTGCTAAAGCTAAGCTAGTTTCTCAAGCCTGTTGTGTATGACTTTAATAGATACATGATTCCAATGTAGCATTCGTCTCTACCTGTTATATTGTAAAAATCTTGAAGACAGGATGTCTTTCGTATCTGCTTTTTTTCCATCTAGTTTATAACCTGTACATAGTAGATACTACTTATTACATGTTTGAATTAGAGCGTACATCTGGAATGGAATTTAACTTGGTTGAAGAAATCTAATATTCTAATTTTTAGTATGGTTTACTGGTAGCTTACATCAAGTTTAAATTATATTAAATAATTTTACATTTGAGCAGTTCATTTGATTCTCCAAGAACATTTTATTTTTACATATTTTTAAATATTTAAAATACTGGCTTAAAAACATTCCTGATTCTATGTTCATAATTTAATAATTAGCATTTAGTTTTTTTCTCTTGTTTCCATATATTTCAGGCCTACTGTGTAACAGAACCTGGAGCAGGCTCTGATGTAGCCGGTATAAAGACCAAAGCAGAAAAGAAAGGAGATGAGTATATTATTAACGGTCAGAAGATGTGGATAACCAATGGAGGAAAAGCTAATTGGTATGCTATTTAAAACATCTCTGTATATTGCTTCTTAATTACTTTATATTCAGATTCTTCCCTCTATTCTTTCTTTTATTATGAAACCACCATGATTACGTTTTATTCAAAGAACTTAAGGAAGGTCCATAAAAGATTATAAATAGTTCAGTGATTTTCAAAAACTATTCTTAAGCTCTCAACTATGTCTTCAAATTAACTCTTAGAAGTTTAATTAGAAAAATAAAATAAAATAAAACAAAAACACCTGCTCTGATTGAGTCTGATTAGGAAAGCTAGAACTCCATCTATTTGCCTTACTATCTCCTCTCACCATACCCTACACCAGCACCTCCTTGGAACTGTCCCTCGAACACCAAGGAAGAAAGAAAACCATTAACAGCACATTTCTTTGATTGCGAGCAATAAGCATTGGCAATCTGAAAACTCAGGTTATCTTTTAGAAAAGACAGAATTTTACTTTTAATAAAATCTAAAAGGTCTAAACATATAGGTTCAAAAATAATGACATGAAGTTCAACAAAGATCATAAAATCACTTGTATAAATCTAAAATGTTGAAGGAAAACATTTGATAGTATTATTTGGGAGCGGGGGGAGAGGAAAATTTAATAACTATAGCTTTGGCCTGTGTGGCTCAGTTGGTTGAGCGTCATCCTGTGCACTGAAAGGTCACTGGTTCAATTCTAGGTCAGGGCACATGCCCAGGTTGCGGGCTTGATCCCTGGTCAGGGTGCATGTGGGAGGTAGCCAGTCAATGTATCTCTGATCAATGTTTCCCTCTCACATCAATGTTTCTCTCTCTCCCTCTCTCTTCCTCTCTCTCTCTCTCTCTGTCTCTAAAATTAATAAAAACATTTTTTTAAAGTAACTATAGGTTCAGTAGGAATCAGCACTGTGATGCAGCTGCCTTTAAGAAGCTAATATAATTTCTTGCTAATGTAATAGAAGAATAGCATCAACACGATAATAACGATTCTGGGCAACACATATTAAGACATGCATTGGCAAAATGGAATAAATTCAGAATCTACACTAATAAAAGAGAAACATGGTAATTAGCGTACGACCGCTACCCTTCCCATTGGCTAATCAGGGTGATATGCAAATTAACTGTCAGCCAAGATGGCGGCTGGCAGCCAGGCAGCTGGAAGCGAACATGAGGCTTGCTTGCTGCAGTGACTGCAGATTCCAATGTTCCCCGCCTGGTCCCCGCCTAACTTGCCTGCCTCTGAGCTGGCAGTTTGAAACATTCTAACAAATATAGAAGCTAAACAAAACCCCAGAAACCAGCTTTCAGCCGGCCGGGATCTCAGAGCTGGAGTTATACATTGTTTCGATTATAGAACGCTCAGCAGCGGAAGCCTCAGAGCTAGAGCCAGAGCTAAAGCTGGCCCAGAATAAAATTTTAAAAAGAGAAAAAAAAGGAGCGGTTGGGAGCTTCAGTCAACAACCACCAGCCTGAAAGCAGCCCTCAGCCCCTCACCCAGACTGGCCAGGCACCCCAGTGGGGACCCCCACCCTGATGCAGGACACCCTTCAGGGCAAACCAGCCAGCCCCCAGGCCTCTATCCTATATAGTAAAAGGGTAATATGCCTCCCAGCACTGCAAGACACCCTTCAGGGCAAACCTCCTGGCACCGGATCAGCATGACAGGGGGCAGCGCCCAAACCCCCTGATCGCCCTGCGGCTCTGTGTGTGACAGGGGGCGGGGCCACAACCTCCCTATCCGCCCTGCTCTGTTCGTGACGGGGAAGGCGCCCCAACTCCCCAATCAGCCCTGCTCTGAGCCCGACCAGGGGCTGCACCTAGGGATTGGGCCTGCCCTCTGCCACCCAGGAGCAGGCCTAAGCCAGCAGGTCGTTATCTCCTGAGGGGTCCCAGACTGCGAGAGGGCACAGGCCAGGCTGAGGGACCCCCCCCCCCCCAGTGCACAAATTTTTGTGCACCGGGCCTCTAGTCAAGTATAAGTCCTGCATTAGGAGGAGCCTTCAAAACATGTCTTATGAAAAGTAAAGGAATTAGGTTTGGTTATTTTGGAAGACTTCTGAAAATTTTTAAACAATGTCATATGGAAAGAAGATCGAGCAGTCTTGCACATTTCTCAGAAACCAGTTTAGAATTAATGGGTGAAAGTTAGAAAAATGTAGAATTCAGCTCAACACAAGGATAAGCTTTCCAACAACAATGCTGTCACGTGTGTGTTAAGTTGTTACAGAAAATAATGTATTTACCTATCACTGCAAGTGTATAAGTAGAGACTTCTAGAATGAGGACTTTCTGGTGATTGGAATGATGAACTAAGAGGCTATCTTTCCTCATTTGCAAAAAAATATGATTCAATATATCTGTGTGCTCCGGCAAGTAAAGCATTATTCTTGGGAATGAGCTTACCAGGAAACCATTTGTTTTACTTTAAGCATCTCTATCCCTTTAAGGAGGTGTCTAATAGTACAGATATCATTATCTTTAAGTAAGTCATCATAATACCAACAAGTAATTAAAAAGTAGAGAAACTTAAAATTTTAACAAGTTGAGTGAGATCTAACCATGCAATTAGAAGTATTCATAATTTTAAGAACTCATTAAGTACAGCTCCTTTTTTAATTTATAGATTGATTTGAGAGAGAGAGAGAGATTTATTGTTCCATTTATTTATGTATCCATTGGTTGATTCTTTTTTTATAATTTTTTAAATTGATCTTAGAGAGAGGAAGGGGGAGGGGAGGGAGGGAGAGAGAGAGAGAGAGAGAGAGAGAGAGAGAGAGAGAGAGAGAGAGGAAAAAAAACATTGATGTGAGAGAGAAACATTAATCAGTTGCCTCCCACATGTGCCCTGTGTGGAGATCAAACCCACAACCTGGGTATGTACCCTGACCGGAAATCAAACCTGCCACCTTTTGGTTTATGGGATGAATCTCCAACCAACTAAGCTACACCTGCCAGGACAAGTACAACTCTTCATGTAGTAAGACAAATTAGGTAATATATAAAGCTAAAATCTATTTTTTTATTTATCACTATTACTAAAACTATAGAGAGTGATAGTTTATTAGTTTTAAAAGTAGAAAATAAATTTGTTTAAGGAATTTTTAGAAAATTCTCTCATACAAGGGGATTTAGAACATGGGTTACATGGATATTTGGATGTTTTGCATTTCTCCTGTGTTTCATTTTAACATCTTTTTGGGATAAAGGGAAAACCCAACAAATATTCATAATAATTCAGCTTTAAAAAAAAAAACTTGACTGCTGCATAAAGAGGACAATAGTCAGAACATTGAGGTCTCTATCTCATATTATTTCTTTTCATTGGCAGTCCTATTTGCCCTCCTTTGTCAGATAGCTAATCCCGTAAAGAATTGAACCAGTTTGGGGAAAGAAAAAGTGCCAGTTCCAACATGCACATACTTTCTTTTTACATTATCTTGATACAAGGAGTTTTTACTTTGAAGTCACACTACTAAAAGAAGTTAAACATATTAATTGAGAAGTTGACTTGACTTGAAATACTACCTTTGCCATACCATAAGTATGACTTGGACAAGCTTTTAAACCTCTCTGATTCTTCATTTCGTCATCTGGACAAGGGGGATAATAGTATTGGGATTGTTGGGAAGATTAACTGAGATAGCAGTCACCATGTATTATCTGCTAATATTCTCTTTATTATCATGTATGTATATATTATATTAGGTATTTTTTATTGGCTCGTTCTGATCCGGATCCTAAGGCTTCTGCTAGTAAAGCCTTTACTGGATTTATTGTGGAAGCAGACACCCCAGGAATACAGATTGGAAGAAAGGTAAAATGTATATTTATCAGTGGTTAAAGCCTCAAAATTATTTTAACCGTAAATTTCAAAATTACCACTTCAGTTTCCTTTATGAAAACATTTTATTTTTATTAAGTTGGAATAAAAATAAATCTGTGCTTTGATGTTATCAGGTGAAATAGCCTATAAATTGCTAGAGATTTTTTAAGGTGAGAATAATTCTTTGAAGGAGTAGTATTTCATGGTGCCAGTCTGCAGAGAATGCTAATAACAGTTGTGAGGGATAATGAAGCAGGGATAATGTTATTTATAGGACCTATCCAATAATGGAGTTTTAGATATTTCAAAAGTCTTTCCCACTCTTTTTCTTACACACAGCAAACTTTGAGGTAGGGTAAGTGGCATTATGCCCATTTTATGGATTAAAACAATGTGACATAAATTGATTACCAATGCCCATACAACACTAACATAAAACTCTGTATGTGATATCACTTATATGTGGAATCTAGTGAACAAAATAAACTGATGAACAAAAAAGACCCCAGAGACATTGAAACATGTAACAGACTGACTTATTTCAGAGGGAAGGGGTAGGGCAGGAAGAGATTAACCAATGAATTTACATGCATATATGCATAACCCATGAACACAAACAATATGCAGGAAAGGTCTGGGGAGGGGAAGCGAGCAGGGTGAAGGGGGTCAAGAAGGAGGGAGAAAGGGGACATCTGTAATACTTTCAAAAATAAAGATAAATTTTTTAAAAATCTGTGCCTTGAGAAAAGTGTGGAAATAGCAAAGAGCCTTAAATGTGGGAAGGCAAGAAGAAATGTATTTAGATAAGAAAAGGTGCCCTGGCTGGTATGGCTCAGTTAGTTTGAGTGTCGTCCTGTACACCAAAAGGTGGCGGGTTCGATTCCTGGTCAGAGCACATACCTAAGTTGCAGGTTCAGTCCCCGGTTGTGGGGCTGTGCCACATACTGGAAGCTACTAACCACTGTTTTTCTCTCTCTCTCTCTCTTTCCTTCTCTTCCTCTCTCCCTAAAAAGCAATAAAACATATCCTCATGTGAGGCTTTAAAAAAAAAAAAAAAGACATATATCTCTGCTCTTGGGGAGCTTTCTTTCTAGTGAGAGAGACATGATTATACTGTATATAATTCAACCTCCTTAAATATTTTTTTGAAATATTGGGCATTTTACAGATTTGTGAAATTTGATGATTTTCAAAATGTTTTGTGTTTTAGAAGTTATATGGCTTGAGATGAGTCCAGGAAGCTTTTGTTTTAAATATTCTGGTATTTGGGTTGATTCTTAGAAACAGGATAGAGTAAGTACTTTTCATAAACAGTTTTCTCGTTATAGCTGAGTGAAGGTCTGAGGTACTAGAGTTTATTGACTTAAAAAGACAAAATAAAGAGATGTTGGTTTATTTTTCTGTCAGACTATATATTGTTGTCACCATTTCTTGAAGCCTGGAAGCAGACTATTAATATTAAAGCAAGCAAATTAAAGAATTTGTTTACAGCTCTATGTTGCCATAGCTCATACTTCTCATTAAAAACAAGATTTTTTTTTTCCCCGTAAGGAGAAGGGTTATGATGTCTGCAATTTCTCAAATAATTGAAATAGTGCTGATAGTTATACAAACACCCAACACAGTAGTAAAGCAAATATGGCAAAATGTTGACAACTGATGAATCTAGGTAAAGGGTATATAAGTATTCATTATACTACTCCAGCTCTTCTGTTGATGTGAATATTTTCAAGATAAAAAATTGAGGAAATGTAGCTACTTTGGCAGTTCCTTATAAAGTTAAATATGCACTTACTGCATGCCCAGCACTCCTAGTTATTTATCTAAGAGAAATGAAAACGTGAATGCTCATAGCAGCTTAATTTATAATTGATAAAAAGTGTGGAGAGAGGGGGGTGTCCATCAACTAGTGAATGGATAATGGATATGTGGTACATCCATACAGTGGAATATTATTCAGCAGTAAAAGAAATGAATTATTGACCAGCAGCAACATGAATGAACCTCAAAAGCACTACAGAAAGTGAAAAGTCAGACACAGAAGGCTGACCTTGCTATTCCACTTACATTCTAGAAAAGGAAAAACTGTATGGACAGAAATCAGATCAGTGGTTGCTTGGAGCTGGATAGAGTAAGGTAATGGATTAAAAAGGGGGGTACTAAAGCTCAGCCAGTGTGGCTCAGTGATTGAGCATCAACCTATGAACCAAGAGGTCACAGAAACATCATCATTGATGTTTCTATCTATCTATCCTTTCCTCTCTGAAATCAATAAAAATATATTTTTTTGAAAGTGTTCAAGAGAACTTTTGGGGGTGCTGAAATATTCTGTATCTTGACTGTGGTGGTAATGACACAGACTTGTCAGAACTACTAGAAATGTATATGCAAACATGGTGAATTTTTCTATATGTAAAATCTCTCTCAATTAACCTAATTTTAAGAAACAAGAGAAAATAGAAATTCAACTTTTATCCAGTATATTACTTTGCTAACTCTGTTAAGCTAAAATTAAACGTGCCAAATCAGATTGTTTGATAAATGCTTTTCCTGACATTCACAGTAAAAAAAAAAAAAAAAGGTAGCTTTCAAACATATAATGAAATTTGTCTTTGTAGGTGATATATACATGGAGAACTCTAGACTAGTGTTTGTTTCAAAATTTGTGAAACATTGTTTTGAACTAGGTAGGGGTTGACACTTATTTTTGTAATGGTCCAGATTGTAAATACTTTAGATTTTGAGGGCTATATGGTCTTTGTTACAGCTACTCAATTCTGTCATTGTAGCAAGAAAGTAGCCATAGGTAATATGTAAATGAATGGGTATGATTATATTCCAATAAAGCTTTCTTTACAAAATAGGCATTGCAGGCCATAGATTGTTGACCCTTGTTTAAGACAGTTGCAGAAATCATAAAATAGTGATTAAAGCAAAAATTCATGCTAACTCAAAAAATGTTCCTTTAATATTTATTGTTTTTCCTACTAGGAATTAAATATGGGCCAGCAATGTTCAGATACAAGAGGAATTGTCTTTGAAGATGTAAAAGTGCCTAAAGAAAATGTTTTAATTGGTGAGGGAGCTGGTTTCAAAATTGCAATGGGAGCTTTTGATAAAACCAGACCTCCAGTAAGTAATGTGACTTGATCATCTTCATAGGATCTTTTACTACACTGAGTAGTTTTAGTTTAACATTGTATGCTTCGTGTATATTTCTTTTCTAGTATCTGCTTCTTTTATTAAGGGTGGAGAGATAGTTTTCTTTTTAGAATTCTTCAACTCTCTTGCTGCCTGTTACAGAAATTATTTTAGCAATTACAAAATTACTATAGTTGCTGCTAGATTTTACAGAGGCAGTGCAGACAGTCAATCCTATTGATAGGTACTCATTTCCTCTTGCTTTACTCATTAGGAATATTTCCCTAAGAAGCTTTCCTTTCTTAAACTGAAGGAATGATTTATCTCTAGCTATGATCTTTTGCCTCACAAATGCCTTCCGTTAAGCTTAAATTCATAAATAATATAAATTTAAATCCTGGTGCACCCCCAACACACTGCCTTAAGCTAGTTTATCTCTGTATAGTCCTTACTGTAGAATCTTAGGCAAGTAGCCATTATACTGTGTGTTTTAAAGACTACATGATCTCTGCTTTGTAAAACCTAGGTAGCCGCTGGTGCTGTGGGACTAGCACAGAGAGCTTTGGATGAAGCTACCAAGTACGCCCTGGAGAGGAAAACTTTTGGAAAGTTGCTTGTCGAGGTAATTTAACATTGAACTTGCTTTGTTCAAACGTAAATACAGCCATTTTCATCTAAATATTTGATAATTGTCTTTTAAGTACAAACTATTGATAATTATCTTTTAAGTACAAACTATTTCTGCTATGGTAGTAAGAAGATAATGTGGTCTGTCAGGATGAGTTTCAAGAACAGATTTTCTTTTTTTAAAAATATATTTTATTGATTTTTTACAGAGAGGAAGGGAGAGGGATAGAGAGTTAGAAACATTGATGAGAGAGAAACATTGATCAGGTGCCTCCTCCACATTCCCCACTGGGGATGTGCCTGCAACCAAGGTACATGCCCTTGACCAGAATCGAACCTGGGACCCTTGAGTCCACAGGCCGACGCCCCATCCACTGAGCCAAACCGGTCAGGGCAAGAACAGATTTTCTTTATACTCTGTTACTATTGTCTGCTCAGGGGATTGTGCTAATTAAGAAGAAGAAAAAGAATAGCCAGTATTTACTGAGTGCCTATTGTATACATGACACTGTGCTACACATTTTAAATAAATTGTCTAATTCTCCCAGTACTACCCTTAAAATCTCCATTTAAGATTGGGAAACAGAGACTGAGAGAGATTCAGTAATTTGTCCAAGATCACAATTTATGTATCACAGATCCAGGACTCCATTTCATGTTCTTAAACCATGTTATATTCCACATCTTCTTAGTATCAAATAATTTCCATACTAAAGAGTCATGTCTCCCATGAATTTCCAGGGAAATTTTTAACTCTTAATCTCTTCAAGTCCTGGAGATATTATCTGTATTTTCTCCTTCTGTAACTCTCCTGAGGTTGTACAGTGAACACCCCCTCTTTCAGTCCTCGTGTCAATGGTTCTCAACCATCTGTGGTGAAAGATTAGGTTTTGTTTTTATTTTTCATTTCTAGCAATGTAGACGGTATTTTATAATATAGACTGTAACAACATCATCATTGTTATAATTATAAAAGTTTCTAAATGTTTACTCTCACTTTCTAATGCAATGAACCAGTAACAGTTTGTGAACTGGCCCACAGATTAAATTTGGATCAGTATTGCTCTAAGTCTATTTCCATCATTTATCTTTCTGTGCTGTATTCTAGATAATTTTCTCAGTTTTCCAGTCCCTTTGATCCTGTCCCTAATCTGCTACTTAATCCTATCTTGAATTTTAATGACTCTTTAAATTCACAGAATATATATTCAGTACCTTTTTTTTAAAAATATATTTTATTGATTTTTTACAGAGAGGAAGGGAGAGGGATAGAGAGTTAGAAACATCGATGAGAGAAACATTGATCAGCTGCCTCCTGCACACCCCCTACTGGGGATATGCCCGCAACCAAGGTACATGCCCTTGACTGGAATCGAACCTGGGACCCTTTAGTCCTCAGGCCGATGCTCTATCCACTGAGCCAAACCCATTAGGGCTTCAGTTCTTTTTTGAATAAACTAGGGGTTCCACTCCTTCTTTTATGGTGTCCTGGTTTCTCTATCTCCTTAATTCAATAAAAGTACTTTTTTATAGTCACTTTCAGATTTTTTTTCTGTTGTCTCAAGTTCTTAGGGTGTTAATCTTTAGGTCTGTTGCATCTTCTATCTCTGTTACAGCCAATTATTTTCTCTCTTAATTTTTGCTTGTAAGTTTATCTGTTGCAGGTATTCTTTTTCTTCAGTGCATTGACATAGCCCCTAGACATTGACTTTTGTACTTTTTTGTACTTTTATCAGGTACCTCAGAGATTTCACCATTTCAAAAGCTGCTGTTGTTGTAGTTTTTTACATTAATAATTTCTCCACTTGGGAGAATCCTGATCCACAGAGGCTGTACACATTGATTCCACTGTTTTTGAACCTTCCAGTCAGAGTCCTAGGCAAGAGATAAGCTTTGTGGCCTTCCTGCGCTCATAAGCAGAGACTTTTAGTTCCCCCTGTCAAAAGAAGCTCTGTTCCTAAGTGCTTTTTCTGTGTGTGTAAGGAATCTCAATGTTCACCCCTCATCTTCTTCATTTTACATCCAAGTCACCTGTTCTTGTGTGTTCACTAAAACTCCAGCTATTTTCACATTGAACCCAAATCTGTCTGATTTTTTTTCCTTCCCTGTGTCATTTATTCTCAATCAAGTTTAAATTCCTTCTGAGAGGTACCTGTAGATTTGTTTCTTTCCTTTGAGCTCTTTTTTTCCCCCTAAATCAACCATTTCTTGATGTTTGTGGCCATAAAAAGAGTTTACATTAGCTCATTCATCTTGCCAGACTACATATATACAGATTAATAAAATGAATATTATTGAATATTAGTTAATCTTACTCTTGAACAGATAACAACTACAATGTTATTCAGTGGAGATCTGTCATCATTTACGGGTCTTCCTCACCAAGTATCTACTGGTAACTTTTCAATTCAATATGGAATGTTCTTGTATGTTCCCTTTCTTGTGGGCTCTGGAGATTGTTTTCTAAATTCTTACTACCTGCCCCAGTATATTTTGCCTCATGGCCCTTCATTATTAAGTATAGAAAAAGTCTTAGTCTTTACTTACTACTTACTCAAAATACAGTCTTTTACCATTTGATTTCTCCTGAAGATTTGCATCACCTCTTAATTACTCTGCAAAATGCTGGCTGCCTATAATCTCAATATGTATAGTGGTACAATGCCATAATTCCCTGCACCCTTTTGACAAGCACCCCTACCCCCCAATCTATGTGTTCTTTACAACTCCAATCTGCTGGCATCTATGTTCTTGGACTATAGCATTATGAATAAGAAGAGTTACCTCATATTTGGAATCCACACTTGAATAATTGATTAGCCATTTCATGTCTGATATTGGAAAATATTCAAGGATATATTGCCATATACCTATGTTTTCATATGGAAATCTGAAGCCAAAAAATGTAAATATGTTAATTTTGTATTAGGTGTTGATGTGGTATAAATATGGGAAAGAGGGGGGATAAAAGGTTATGTAGTTTGCAGTCTTATTTTTTTTCATTTATCTATGATAAAGCCTACTTTAGCTCCATCTACATTGTTTTTCTGTCTATACCAGTAGATATTCCAGACTCATCTATAACATTCCATGTAATCTACTTTATTTTCTTCCATTTAAAATTAAAATATTGCCGAACCGGTTTGGCTCAGTGGATAGAGCGTCGGCCTGCGGACTCAAGGGTCCCAGGTTCGATTCCGGTCAAGGGCATGTACCTTGGTTGCGGGCACATCCCCAGTGGGGAGCGTGCAGGAGGCAGCTGATCGATGTTTCTCTCTCATCGATGTTTCTAACTCTCTGTCCCTCTTCCTTCTTCTCTGTAAAAAATCAATAAAATATATTTTTTTAAAAAATTTAAAATATTAATTTAATATATTAGGACTTACTTTCTAAAAGACAACTATGTCACAATGTGTCTGCCTTTTTTCCCCTCACTTCCAAAATAACCAGCTTTTGTATAATTCTTAGTTATTTGCTATTCTATTTCTACCATTATGGTTTCTTATTCTTACTTTCTGGGTATATTGGCTGTATTTTATGCTGGAGTATATGACACCCCACTACCTTTTGACTCAATGCAACACAAAGACTCATCATTTTATGACCTGACTTTATAAAGCATCCACCCAGAATATTTCTTCCACACAGTCCAAAATGATAAAATAAAATTATCATGTCCTCTATTTTTTCTTAGTAATGTGATGAGCATGTTTGCAATTCTAGGATTCCCCACCATTAGTCTTCTCCTCTTTTCTAGGCTAAACAAAATAAATACTAAGGGGCCCATTTATGTATATCTTTGGTTTATTATCTCAAAAAAGAAGAAATAAAAATGGGTGGGTTTTTTTTAATCCTATTCACTACTGTGTTTATTATTATTGTTATTATCACTTCTCTTAAGTGAATGCTATGTCTGCTACTTATTCTTATATTGCTTAACTTGATGTAACTAAAGCTGCCCCAAACAGAGGATGGTACTTTTTCTTGCCAATGAATAAAACTAGGAAAATTGATAACAGATTACTGGATGGTAAAATTTCTTATGGCAGTAATTGCCTGCTCCTTTATCTAGTCAGAACCCTATGTTTTGGTGAATTTGAGTGATCTAGGATAGTATGAAAGAGTCTGTTAAGAATAACTCTCACTTGAATTAATTATTATTGTTAATTACCAGTAATTTTTCCCAATGACTTCCCTTTCTTGGTAGGAAAATATCAGAGGTGGAAAAGGATTATTTGAGAATGAAATATACCTCCCTCTTTATTAACTACTAGTGGCCCGGTGCACGAAATTCGTGCTCGGGGAGGGGGTGTTCCTCAGCCTGGCCTGCACCCTCTCCAATCTGGGACCCCCTCAAAGGATGTCCTACTGCCGGTTTACAGGGATCGGGCCTAAACCGGCAGTCGGACATCCCTCTCACAATCCGTTGACTGCTGACTTCTAACCGCTCACCTGCCTGCCTGCCTGCCTGATTGCCCCTAACCACTCTGCCTGCCGGCCTGCTCGCCCCCAACTGCCCCCTGTAGCTGGCCTGCTTGCCCCCAGAT